TCATGATGGACCCAAACCGTCCTAATTTTTTTTATAAGTTCATTGATAAATTACTTCAGACTAATTTTTCATATTTCTATTGTTAATAATTTGTTAGTGTATCAAAAATTTCGTTAGTGTATCAAAATTTTTGTTTGTATGTATGCTCCTAAGATTGTTTTTGGCTATTTTTCTAAGGAAAAAGTTTATATAGAGCCGAGGCCTTAAACAATCAAATTAGAGTCCACCTCAAAACTTTCACTAGAAGAGGTTGTTTCGATACCCAAATATCCTCAAATTGATCATCTCGACATCGAGATGCATGAACATGAGAAAAAAATGGATTTCAAGTTTTGGAAATAGTGCATCTTGCAATGCATTTTTGGACCGTCAATTTTCAATATTTCAAGTTTTGATAGATCTGTTCGATCTACACTATTTTTGAACCTTTAAAATATATTATTGGAGATGAAATTTTTTTTTAAGACTATCACAAAGATTTCCAGTATTAAAACCGTATTTCTCGACACTATTTGAGGGTGGGCTCTACTTTGATTGTTTAGAGTCTCTGCTCTTTACAAACCACACCCTTTTTCTAATTATGACCTTTGAATATTTATAAAAAGTATGCCATTATTTCTTCAAAGATAGGATATTGATTTTAAGAATTTGATTATATTTATTCAAAAACTATTTATGGATAATTTTTCAGTTTTAAAATTCGAATTTTAGGTTTGCGAAAGAATTTATGATTTCTTTTCAACAACATTGTACCGGATCTATTTCTTTTAATTATAAATTTTCATAAATTAATTTTTTTATTTTTATTTTTTTAAAAATCCCATTTTATTTACAAAATTTTGTGCTTTTAAATAGCTTATGACTACTGTTTTAGAAATTTTATTTCATAAGCTGATGATCTATATTACTATTGATTGTACATTTTCCCTTGGATTGATTTTTGAGATGCTAACAAAAAAATTGATTTGAGATAGTCATGGTGCCCCATCCCTTTTGTCTTTTACATTTTTGTATTTAAATTTTTTTATATGATGCTTAATAATTTTTATCACATGTGCAAAGCACGGGCTCTCTAGTAGTACATATAATTTCTGACTTTTTAAAAATAAAATTAACTTAAAGGAACATGTGGTCCATATATGACCCGTGTCTGGCAATATAAGTGCGCCTTACAATGTGGACATGGGTCTTACAAAAAGTGACACGCGGCTTGTTTGCCCAATCTGTGGACTCATATGCCCACATTGCAGACGTGCTATGTTTGTGAATAAAAAAGAAAGAAAATTTTTGGGCATGCATGTCAGTATAGTTTTCCGGTGTCTGTATGCTTTTCTTGTGTGACAATGCACATGTAGGCATGGGACGCGTGTCATTGTTATATAACACAATCCTTGTCATTCTCCTTGATGAATTGGGTAGTTGTTGGAAAGGTTAGTGGAACTTATTACTACTTTGGTATCATTTATTTGTATCATTAGGGTTCTATCAATTGCCTTTTGGTCCCAAGTGCCTCAGACACCCAAAATCTCCAATCACACATATTCAAAGAAGTCCTATGTGGGCTGCCTTGGCTATGAGGTTCAAAATAGTCGGTTCTAGGGGCCCTCACATGTTGGCCCGACACCTCCTGGTACTGGCCAGCAGGCTTTAAGCAGGGCCTTGTGTTGAGGTGGGTTTGAGGCACGCGTTAAGGCCCGCAAGCTGGCCCAGGCGAGGCCCGGTAGCTCGAAATATTTTCAGGCTTGTTCAGTACTAGCATTGGCTGGCCCTGGGCACCACCTGAAAGTATTCAATTATGTATTACACATGTTAAGAAAATTTTTCCCATATATATGTAAGGCCCTACCATTGGGCCGGGCTCGTGTCACGCTATCTATCATGAATTGGGCTGGACCCAAAACTAATTTTTTAGCCCTGGGCCTACCTTGCATAGTTTCAACTTGGGCTCTGGCTAGGGCTGGTCCAGCCAAGATCCAGCCCAGTGACCTCATTTAGGATATCCGTGAATTTGAGATATTTAAATCGAGTGTTTCCAGGATTGGATTGGCCATTGAATCGGTGGGGGATCTGATCCAATCAAAGCTGCTTCAATTGCAGTCGAACCGGTTTCACTAGATTTTGAAAGTATTAAGAAAAAGATGAATAATAGTTTAAAAATATATAACATATTAGGAAGAAGTTGCTCACTTTTTTTGGATGGTTGAACTGGTTGAAACCAGCCCGTCAGACTGGTCAAACCGTTGGTTTTGATTAGTTTTTAACCAAATCTGGCTTTTATTTTGGACTAAGCTAGCTAAGAGCCGGTCCAATCTTGATAACTATAATTTGAAGCAATATGATCTAGGAAGGTATTCAGTGTTCAGAAAATGCTAGGCGGCTGGCCTGGTGCCCAGTGCTAGGCGGGTGCCTAGAACTTCATGTGCCATGAGGTGAAAATTGCGTATGTCCCGTTAATTTCGTATTTTTTTGCATTTATATATATTCTAACTAGTTGTGTTACATGCAAATTTATATGCATGAATTTTGAAAAACATGTTAAAAACTTTAAATGATTGAAAATTTTGTGAAAAAGGTAAAAAACATAAACAAGTCCATGGTGTATTAACCTCCGGCTATCCAATCCAAATTGAGTATGGCATAATCCATACTGACACATGAACAACTAAACAAGATGAAATACAAAAGACAAGTATAACTTATGGATGAAATTCCAACAATGAAGAGTAAGGTTATGAATGTTTATTGAAGTCTAGGATTCTTTATTTTTTCCTATTCACAGAGATCTCAAAATCAATAGATTTGGGGGTTTACATTCCAATTTGTTTTTACTTTTGGAATTTAGAATGCCCCCAAAGCCTTTTATGAAAAAATCGTGGGTAAAAAATGTCTCAAAAAAGGGTCCCGTGCCTGGGTGCCCGCCAGGACTGAGCGATGGGCGCCAACTTCACCCAGGTATTGGTGCCCAGGGAGGGCCACCTAGCCCTGGGCGTGCACCCTGAGGCCCACCTAGGCACTGGGCAGACCCTTTTTTGAAACAATGATGTAAAGCAATATTAGCTTGGAGTGATATACATGTTACATGCCAATTAGATTTTTCTCTTGCCCTCTGGAGGATGAAAGAACTGGTGTTTCCAACAAGCTGTTTCATCTATAGACGTAAACTTGTTTAAATTATCAATTGATTAGTTCACATTGAGGTTGAATCTTCTTTTTGAATAAGTTGACTACACAATGAGTTTGACAATAAGTGTTTCTTAAACTTGCTTACCATGGGAACTGGTCAAATTATAAGTGAAGATTATTTGGTCTATACATATTCTAATTGCTTCCTTGCATGTATTTGAAATGATTTTTGGTTGCTTGCAACCTCACTCTCTCTCTCTCTCTCTTGAAATGATTCTTGGTTGCTTGCAGCCTCTCTCTCTCTCTTGAAATGATTCTTGGTTGCTTGCAACCTCTCTCTCTCTCTCTCTCTCTCTCTCTCTCTCAGGTGCTTGCGCGTGCGCACACACACACACAAACACTCCACACATGCATACAAGTGCAGTCTTCTGTCGAAATTTTGATTGTTTACTGACCTTTCTGCCTGAATTTGAAGTTTTACATTTCTGCCTGAATTTGAAGTTTTACTGGCTTCCTCTTCCTCTCTCTTTCTCTCTCCCCCTTTCCGTCTAAAATCTGATTGTTTACTTGCTTTTTCTACCTGAATGTGAAGATCGGTGTCTTCCATCTAAATTCTGATGGTTTTCTTCTCTCTCCCCCCCCCACACAAACTTCTTTCTTCCATCTAAAATTTCATTGTTTACTTGCTTTTCGACCCGAATTTGAAGTCTTACGGGCTTCCATTTCTGCCTGAATCTTGAGTCTTCCATCTATATTCTAATTGCTTGCTCTCTCAGTCTCTCTTTCTCTCCCCTGCCCCCCCCCCACC